AAACCTTCCCATGAACGTGGATCCGTACCTACCATGCATTTCGTCGCAAAACCACTTCCGGTCCCGCCCACTGGTCCATGGTCCGTGGAAGATTCCTTTAAAGCAGCGCAAGCTTTGCAACACTCTAACAAATTTTTTATCAATTATCGACTTGAAATGCCATCGATAAACTTCGATTGGATAAAGTTTCCGTGGCTAAGTGGATTTTACCCTGACTGTGTTTCCAGGTACACCGCAACCCGCACTCCATTTCACGGAGTTCTTGTTACTTCCCCCCCAAACAGCTCCATCCCCAGTGTCGGTAATTTCGCGGTTTACGGACTACTTGATTTTTCCTCAATGGTCCTGCCGCGATGGCTAGAGCACAGACGATTAGAGAATGGGTGATGCCCTAGGACTAAGCCTTGGAGAGGAGAGGGACCCGCGAGAGAGCGCAGAGGCGGTAAAGGGCTTGAGTTCAAGTAGTCCGTCACCCGGGTCAAGGAGCGTAACGTGTACATTACAGCCATGATCAAAAATTTCTATCCTACCACCCCTCCTTGTTGAAAGCACAGTCTCAGAGGGTTTGACAATAGAGTAAGCGGTAGCTGCTTGAAAAGGACAATAGCAGTGAATGCTATAGATGGGTGGCAGACATTTTATAGAAAGCGCCGTGTTTATTGTTTTCAAGAATAGTAGAATTCGACGAAGTGCTTGAAGGCCATCTTGAAATTATGTCTATGGTCAAACATCAAAATGCCGGACTTTCAAGGGCGAGATCCGGTTTTTTAACCGAGAAATGTTTGTCACACGTCATCTCTCTTGATGTGAGGTCTTGTCCGCGCATAGCCATCGAGTAATTTTCAAAACTGGTGTTTCACTAACAACGCCGTTGTTGCCTATCAGCTCAATGAATAAAGCATTCTCCTCCATTTGTGGGAATGTGCCCGTACTTCTACTTCATTCAGGACATGTAGTGCCCATTTGAATGCGGATTGCTTCACGTACTGGATTGCGAGCCAGCGATGTACAGTCAGTTTCTTCCAAGGTGGTATAACCGATCCTCGAAGGCATTTGATGGCTGGGCTGTTTATCGCAGACCAAGATGTGCCCCAACGTGTATGCGTTTAAGCCAGCCCACATGCCTCACCCCACTCTCCACCATGTATTGATGAATCGCCTAAATTCTAGGTTATGCCCCCGCCCACCGATAGACGCACAACATTATCCGGATTAAGGTGTAGCGGTTGTCAGAACGGGCCTTAAGTCAGTTTGGATTGTAGATTAGCTTGACTGTAACACATTCAAGAATCCAAGAAATATGGCCTCACTTTAAAAGGGAAACAATTGCATACAGACCAGTAATTCGGCAAACTTTCTAGGACAACTAGTAGAGATGGCCACTTTTTCAGGCTATTAGCTTCGTTCATTCCTTTCTCCTCAGCTTGTTCCTGGAACCTTGAACGTCGGCTCTCCATGACTAGCTATTGCATGAATATATACGCATTCAAAAAAAATAGGCGATTAGGAATTTAACATCGTTAGGCCAATTACTAGGAATTTAAAGTGATTTCGAAAAACATGGTCAACGCAGAGGATAATTTAAGCGTTGTGCCTCTACAAAGCGTGGTATGCTCAGAAAAATGCTGAGAATTGGAGCAAGTACATAACGGCCAGGAGGGCAGCTAAGAAATCTGTCGCCGCAGCTAAGGCTGAACACTTCCGAGACCTCTACACACAGCTGGATTCCAAGGAAGGTGAGAAGAGCATCTACCGATTGGCGAAAGGAAGAGCAAGGTCGGCGAAAGACACTGACCACTATGTTTGCGTAAAGGACGAAGATGGACAGCGACTCCACAGTAAGCAAAAAATACTAGATCGTTGGCAACAGTATTTTAATGAAATCTCCAACATCGAGTTCGCTCATCCGCCAATCCCGGGAGGCCTTATGAATGCGGGTCCAGTCACTTGCATCACTACAGAAGAGGTCACCAAGGCAATCAACAGCATGAAAAATCGGAAGGCGCCGGGCCCAGACGACGTCCCAACAGAATTCTGGAAAATGGAAGGACAGTGGCAGATTGGAATAATTCCATGGCTCACGCGATTTTTCAATGCCGTCGTCAACTCTGGCCGCGCACCAAAGGAATGGGCGACAAGCATAACCATACCAATCTTTAAAAATAAAGGAGATCCAGCGGAATGTTCGAATTACCGTCCGATTCGCCTGTTGTCGCATACTATGAAGATCTTTGAGCGGATCCTCGATCAACGACTTCGCGACATCGCTGAGCTGAAACCAATGCGATTTGTAAAAGCGCAGTGCGAAACAAATCCGCACTGCAATCTTCGCCGCCCGCATGCTCTTGGAGAAACATCGTGAAAAGCAAAAGTCACTCCACGTAGCCTTCCTAGACTTGGAAAAAGCGTACGACCGCGTTCCACACCAGCTGATCTGGTATGCGCTCCGTGAACACAGAGTGCCAGAAGTTCTCATCAACTGGATCCGGATGCTATACGCGGGCACCACAAGTCGAGTCAGATGTGCAGCTGGTCTTTCGAAGAGCTTTCCAATTAACGTTGGCGTTCATCAAGGATCAGCACTCTCGCCGTTGCTTTTCATCCTCGTCCTGGATGCAATCACACGGGATTTGCAAAATGATGTTCCGTGACGCAGCCACCAGCAGAGAGATGAACTACAGCATCGAGTTCAGATTTGGTGCGATCGGCTTAGCCAGTACGGTCTTCGTCTCAACATCAAAAAGACCGAGTACTTGGAAACTGTTCAAGATGAGGGAACTATCCAGGTCACTGGCGAGGAACTACCAAAAACCACCTGCTTCAAGTATCTGGGTTCCCGCCTGCAAGCCAATGGAGGTCTTGAAGACGAGATAAGACTGAGAATAGGCGCGGCATGGATGAGATGGAGAGAGATTACCGGACAGACGTATGCCGATCCGCCTTAAATCGAAGGTATACCGAACTATGGTCCGCTCTACTGCATTATACGGATCTGAATGTTGGCCGAGCACGAAAGGCGCTGGAGCGTCAACTTCACGCTATGGAGATGCGGATGCTCCGGTGGTCGCTGGGAATCTCACACGTTCTGACCATGGAATATATTGCCAATGAAGTGATTTCGACGTGGGTGTCTGCACCGTATCATCGAGAAACAAAAATGCGAGAGAGATCGACTAATGATATGGCCACGTCAGTACGAGCTGTCCTTTAGGTACCGTCGCTGCCACTGCAATACGATTTGAAGTTGACGGCAAACGACCGCGTGGAAGGCCAAGAAAACGGTGGCAAGACACGATCAACGAAGACATGAAAACTGCACAGCTAACGCAGCGAAGATGCCCTGAATCGAACAAAGTGGCGCTCTTCGATCCGAACAACGGACCCTGCCCCAGCGGGACAACGTTAAGCAGAAGAAGAGTTACGCCACCTTTAAGGACGAATGACGGATGTTAGAATGTAATGTCGAAGAAGGAGTAATTTACCTAAATTGAGGGCGACCAGGACTATTTAAGCGATGCGGACGTGAAAGCCGCATATTGGCTACCGAAGACTGCAGCCTCGGACGAGTATTTAAATGTCCATCCAGGGGTAGTAGGCAGGTGGACAAGTGTTGATGTCGGGCCCCTTTTGCGGCTTGAAAGTACGCGACAAAGGCGCAAGGAGCTCGTCCAACCCGCAACTCACACCTTCGTCCGCAAGCCCCACCCTTCGCTGTCGGTTGCCACGTGGCGCTGCTTGAAAAGCGCGGGCGCATTTGAGGCAGCGGTCCCAGCGCGATCCAATGTCAATTGGCTGGAGCAAGTAGAGTTAGGTTCGTGAAACTCGTCCAATTCGCCTCTTCTCTATTCCAAGGTGGAATGTGGCTGAAATAGGGGAGGTCTGTACGGGGCGTAATCGGTGGTTTCGTTTGCTTTCCTTCTCTTTTACAGACCACCTCCCACCTATAGCTTCATAACTGAACGCTTTTCCACACCTATTTTATCCCGAATCTTGCCTTTAAGGCTCAATCTTGGCGCGGTGGGCAGTGCACGCCCACCGATCATCTGATCACTCGCCGCAGGTCTATACGTGGCGAGTGATTAGATAGGTGAGAGAGCGTAGTGTTGAAGAGGGCACAGCGATGAGAGTCGCATCAATGCTCAAATCAACGGGCAAGGAAGGGGTCCCATTTCTCGGGTTCTGGGCCGTTTCTCATGGTTCTTCCTTCTTTCGTGTACCACTCACCATCCCTAGGTTAATTTGAAATGGGTTGCTTTTCCAGCGTGAATTCGTCCTTTAAGTAAATCTGGTTAATAGTGCATAGTGATAGCTGATTTTTGGTAAATGATAGTTGTAATTAGTGACAACTGATAGAATACAACTGCAACAGGCTAATCATTTCATTGGCAGAAAACATTTACATTTTGTGGAGGCCGTCGTCACTTGTGGTGTATGGTCTGCACCCGACGCTCTTCTCGTATTTTTGAAACGGAGGGTACTCGCGCTCACGAAATCGTTCCGCTTCCACGCAACTGAAAATGCCAAATGCGCAATGTCGTCAACGTGTTAATAACTCAGTTCTGAGCAAGAAGATCGGCTGGAGTCGAACTCCTTATACGCAAATCGCGATTTATCTGAATATTTTACGTCTGTCAAATGCACTCTGAATACAGACCGGTAAAACTGAACGGGATGATTATGTGTGGTTCTTCACACCTAGTCAGGGGGTCTTGTCAACACCTTCAGTTTGATTGTGCTAAACACTAGCTTTCATTCGTTGTCTCAGTTCTACGCTATGCCCCTGAAAACTTGGTAGTCAATCGATAACCAAACTTAAACGAAGGATGCCTCCTTAAATGATTATTTTAAAATTTGTATAAGTGTTTGTATGAAAGTCTCGCAAGATTTCTTCTCATTTGGCGGCTGGCAACGATGGATGGAAATCGTGATCGAATGAAAAATACTTTATTATTGCGATTTGAGTACAACTACAATATGTACACAATGTTATCGTGAGCAATCTATTTGCCGTACATCATTCGATAGCCCATCATTCCCATGCCATATCTCGGATACATGCCATACATGCCAAATCGGCGATATGGGCTGTACATGCCGTATCCCATGCCGTAGCCCATGCCTGTAATTTAGAGATGAGGGAAAAAACTCATAGAATTCACTCCTCAAACAACTTACCGTATCCCCACTGAGCGTTAGCGGTGTAGGCGAGGGCAAGGACGAGGACGAACGCTAAGACGAAGTTGTAGAACATTTTCTGAAATAAGAAAAAATTCGCTCTGTGACATCCCAAATTCAATGAACTACTGCGTATGAAACCACTCCGGTGAAACTCCAGTTCGGGGGGGCCACTCCATTGTTTCTCCAATACTCGAGATAAGGATGACAGCGCTCATGATACGTAACCAACTCATTCAGAGTATACTTTTGATAAGTAACGGTGTAATGGGAAAAAAGCCGTGAGATGCTTTAACCTTTCCGCCTGCCATGGTCCAAGGGAACGGTCCTGGACCGGAGAATGGATACCTCTTTCTAGGGCCAAGGGTGGAGGAGCTCCAGGGTGGATGACCTGGTGCAGAAAATTGTATAGGAGGTGGGCAGAATGTGTGATGGACAACATTTACCGGTCCTTATCGAAAGTACGCTCGAAATTAATCGTTTACTTGATATCTTATCCATGGTGTTGGATAGCCCAAAGTACCACTCGTTAGTACTACGGATAAGATAGCACTGGAGTGGCCCCCCCCCCCCGAACTGGAGTTTCACCAAAAAAACTAATCGGCATTCTTTTGACCACAAACATTAGGTACCTTTATCCGATTATTGGGCTACGAACGACCAAGACACTACACATCACCGATCTCATCTGTACCCTATGCTAGGTACCGCATGGCTCCCAGTAAAGAGTAGATTAGATGCGATAAGACAGGAGGTGGGCTAGCCTGAACAACACCTTTTACACCACCACATTGGACTTTCCGAAAACAATGCCAGGGCCTTTTCGGAAAATTCAGCATTTTCGAGTCTGATTGCTTATCGTAGAAGTAATTGCCTGGTGCCAGACTCAAAGAAAGAGCAACGCGAGCTTGACCCTCCAGTCATTGGTTTTATTAATTACGACTTAAATGTGTAAAGATTCCCTTGGTCTAGACTGGATTTTGCCCTTGATACCCGTCTCCAGGTACTGCAGGCATCACCATACATCCATTTCATTGACGTTCTACTACTCCCCCCCCCCACCTCCCACAGCTCCATCGCAGTGAAAGGGCAGATTTGGGTCTGGGAGCAGTAAGCAGTCATTGACATGACAAAATTCCTATCCTACTCCTCCCTCCTTGTGAAAGTACAGATCACTGGGTTTGAAATAGGAGTAATGAAAACTGTAGTTGTTGAAAAAGGACAATAGGCAGTGAATGCTATGAGATGAGTCGGGCGAGGACCATTTTATAGAAAGCGCCGTGTTTATTGTTTTCCAAGAAATAGTATAATTCGACGAAGTGCTTGAAGGCCATCTTGAAATTATGTCTATGGTCAAACATCAAAATGCCGGACTTTCAAGACGCGATCCGGTTTTTTAACCGAGAAATGTTTGTCACACGTCATCTTCTTGATGTGATGGTTGTCCGCCGCGTGGCCATGCGGATAAGGTTCAAGGACGCTGTGTTTCCTTTAGACACCGCCTTTGCTGCCAAATCAGGTTAAGGCATGAAGCATTCTGCCCTCGCTTTGGTGGGATGCGGCACGCATTCTACTTCCATTTGTACATTCGCAGTGGCGTTTGAATGCGATGTGGCCTATACAATGACTTGCGGGGGCCAGCCGATGTACAAGTCAGTGTTTTTATCCTCCCAGACAAGTCTGGTACCAATTAACCGACCCCGGAGGGATGAAGACTTGGTTGGCTTAGTCGGCACGACCCGGGATTTGTGCCCCAGGCTGTGCGTGCGCTGACAGCGCCACATGCCTCTACCCCACTTCCAACCATGTGTTGCTGAACAGCCTCGAAAACAAATACTCTGAAAGTTGTGCACCGCATTAGGCAGCACCACATCTGGGTAATGTATGTAAATGGTGGTTAAGAGCGGACCTTAAGTCCAACATCAGTGTTTAAATCATCTTACTGTAAACTACAGTTCAAGAATGAAAAAGCCTCAAGAGCAAAAAATCAAATAATCTGTCATCAGCTGAGGTCTTAATATACGGCTAATGATGGGCACATTGATGCGACATCCAGCACATCCGATCGGCCTGCTGATAAGCTTTTCTACGTGGTACGCAGGGAATGACACAAACTTTGCTATCGGAGTAGGGACGTGGAGACGCTGTTAAGTGAATTGCAGCAATACTAATTGTAAGCCCAGTTCATTGGGGTTACTCCTAAGAAAGAAGGGAAAATACAGCTCATATAAATAAAATAAAATATAGCTCTAGATGGCTCCAAAGAGACTACTGCTCCTTTTAAGG